TCACCATATATCCTTTACATTGAACTCCCTGGATAGGAGTAGGGAGTAGTTGATATGAAGTGAGTGATTCGGACACAACCTATGTCTGTTAGGGAAGCCGATTGGTATATCTGGAGCACCTGTGGTGGCCAGTTAATTCCAGATCTTAAAGTTGAGGCTGAAAACTAGCTATTCTCTCTCTGCTCCTCCCCCAGGCACAGCACACCCTAACACTGCTGTCCGGAAGAGAGAGACAGCTCTAAGAAAATACTGAAACAATATGAAAGGTCCAAGGGAGAGTTAAAGTGAAAGTGAAAGAAAGAATGAGAATGACTGGCAACCCATATAGTTAAACGCAGCTAGAAATAGGAGAAGAGGAGAAGAGAGCTGAACATTCCATTATTGCTTGTAACACCACTTTGTTTTCAGAGGTGCAGCTTTGACGGTAAGAATCATTTTATGTCAGCTATACTAAAATGTTGTAGTAGTGAATTTTGGCATTGTAAAACTGAAATGTTTATTTTACTGCACTGTTAAAAGCAATAATAACAGATGAACAATGTAAGAATTTAGTAACACTTGACATGTTAGTAGTCTACTGTAGTTTATGGTTTGCCTCAATTTATTTTGCTTAAATTAAGTTTTAGTCAATTTAGTTTTGCTTTTCCAACATGGATGTAGCTGTAAGATTTTTTCTCTTCTATGCAGAAGGCATCAGGAATAGAGTGTGGTGTTTACTACTGTGCATAAATCTCAGTCTCTCCTCCCCCAGTTTAACAGATTCATTTAAGTATTCAAATTGAAGTATTCATTCACTTTGCCATAAGTACTTGCCAGTTCTCTGTTTTGAAAAATTTAATTTACTGAATATTCTACATTAATTTAATTGACTGGTGAGACAATGTGTTTTGGTTTGTTAATGAAGTCCACATATAGAGAGTGTTTTTTCTTTACATGTTACCTCAATATTGTATATGCAGCCATGGAAAAAAGCTCTTCCAAACCTGAGCCCCCCACATCTTCTCCAAGTAAGATACTTTAAGTTTACAGAACATTGTTTAAAACTAAATAACAGATAATGACACATTTTCCGATTTTGCTGATGTTTTCTTACCATGTGAAACTTTATTTGACAGCTTTTGATGAAACCATGGAGGAAAATACTATGGGGTGAGTGATGTGTTCAATATGTGGTGCTGTATTGTTTAATTTTTTTTTTGCTAAATATTTTTTAATACCAAAACTTCCCTAATTCATGTGTTGAGACTGTCTTTTGTTGTTATCTTCTTATCCATTGAATATCTCAGTGACACTGTGATTTAACATCATGGATGACACAGGCAACCAATTGTGCATGCTATGCAAAATGGTTAAAACAAATACATTTTCATCTACAACCTACTCTAAACTTTCTTTACTGAACAGCAACAAAGAGAGATATCTGCTGGAAGTGAAGAATTATCAATCCCATAACAAATGAGCTCCAACATCTGAGAATTCTTTCTTCATGGACGCAGCTGGTGCTTGGAAAGTCCAGTTTTCATTTAACTCAGTCGACAGTGTTTACAAGGCAGAGAATGTCTGCGAGCTTTGACAGACGCAACCCAAGGAGAGCTTCACAAAACAGTATGACCATTAGGTTAGCAACTATTTTGTGATGAAAAACTATGTGAGCAACATACAAACTGCCTTAGCAAGCATCATTCAGTATGGTTGGCACTGTTTTCATAAACCTGTTCTGATTTACAGTACAGAACTTACAAGATCCAAAAAGAAGAACACAGGAGCCGTCTTACCCTATTGTGTCCTTCACTGACATCATGGGCCTTAGAAGGACTCCAAACCAAAGGGGTTGGGTACAGGAACATCATACTGGCTATGAAGGACACGAAAAGATGGTTACAAAGTACAATTATTGAATTCATTTTCAACTTTGTTGTACATATTTCATGATAAAATACAGCATTTGTGTTTTCGTATATCCATTTCATTTACATACATATAAGCAACTATTACATACAAAAGTCATCTTTAATTTTACTTTTTTCAGTTATCAATCCTGTTACTCAATTATCTGAGGGACGATCAAAACTTACAACGCTCCCCCAGTCTAAGTGACAATCAAGTTCTGTTTCTGATTTGTGTGATTGCTGCTGACAAATTTAATATACTGGATGATGAAACAATTGAAAATAGATGAGGAGTCAGGACTTGCAAGCCAGTGACATGGTAAGGTTAGAGTTTGTTATTGTGTGTTTGAGTTTGAATAGTAATCTAATCTGACAACATTGTCTTCGGACTGACTTGGATTCTGCCTCTGTATCGACAGGGATTTACCCAATGGCTATTCTCACCAAAATTGATGAAAGCCTGGTCCTGAAGTCAAAAAAATTATAAGGAACGTGTATTAATGAGCAAGTACCTGAATCAACTGGTAATTTCTATGGGTTTATTTTCTAAACTTGTGATTTGCTTTTTAAAATTGGGATATAATTTAGCTTTACATATTTAATATTCTAACACAGAAATCTCCTTTGTTCAAATTCAGATGGAGAATGAATGTGAAGTTGGGTGTTTCACATGAATGCATCTTTCCTTGATCACTAAGACACGCAGCAAGGCAATCACACACTTCCGGACTCGATGACATGATGCACTGATTCTGAGTACCACTGAACAGCATGATTGAAACTATGGGGAAGACTTTTCAACAAACCTGAGATCTACAGTTGCTAAAGCAAATCTTGTTTATCCAGAAAAGAAAAATGGCATTTCTATAATTTTCAAGTCTTTCATTTCATTGTTGGGAAATGTACTTTCAAACCAGTCATGTGCATGATAATGACACAAAATTGCGGCAACATTTGTCTTTTGTTTTTCATATCACAAGATGTTAAATGAAAGTAGCCGTATTGTATCTACTACAAGTATCTAGAACCGTTACCTTGCTGAATGTAGGCAGCAAGTACCACTTTATGCATTTGAGCTTTTGCAGTATTATGTTTTTGCCCATTCTTTCTTGATTCAGGTGTTCATTTGTGATGTTGTAGTTTCCCGTATTCATGAATCAATTCTTCATTGCCAAATGTGGAAATCGTGTGCTTTTTGCAAAAAGCACTTTACTTGACGGGAACTTAAAGTTTCCTTACTTGGATATTTGTCTGTGCATTGCAGCCTGAAAATTTTCAGTGAGAGTTTGTGTTACATGTCAGTACAATATTACTGTGCAAATATCTACGCTTTAGATCTCTCTCGTCCCACTGAAAGAGGGTGACCTAGACTACAACTCATCTCCCACACTGGATGACAGAGTTCACGTTCTGGTTTGTGCTATTCCTGCCGCCTCAGTGTCTATAATAAGTGACGATGTTGTGAAGAAGATGAGAGAAGTCAGACTGGCAGCCAGTGACGCGGGTAAGAGCAGGCATCACAATAGTTGTTGCACTGTGTGGACTAATGGCGTCATATTGGATTTTATGAATCAAAAGAAAATTCTTAAAATACTGATAAGTTGTCTGTATTAACAGGGATTCCCCAACTGGTTATTATCACCAAAGTTGATGAAGCCTGTGATGAGGTCAGAAAAGATATAAAGAATGTCTATAAGAGCATATACCTGAAGGAACAGGTAGGTTTCTATTGGTGATTTTTTAGAAAAGGTTGTTTGATTTGATCTTGTTCAAATCTTGTCCAAGTTCAGTATTCCAGCATGACAATCTCCTTTGATAATCACTGTACAATTACTAATCTACAGAAATGTTGTTAATTCAAAACTTAGGTCGACAAGATCCACAATTTGCTGGGCATTCCACTGAACTCCATCTTTCTTGTGAAGAACTACTGTTCAGAAATCAATGTAAATGATGACGTTAGTGCTCTGACGCTGTGCGCGCTGAGACAGATGCTTTCCTTTGGAGAAGACTTCATCGACAACCTGTAGACCTTCAAACTGCTGAGGCAAATGTTTTTCATTGTGGAAGTCTTACGAATGTGAAAGTAATATGCACCAATTTTAATTCTGATTTTCAAGCATGCTATATTTAAAATATTCATTGTATGTGTTAAATTTGTGTCATGTCAAGATGAGAGGATTGTTCAGAATTTTAACATATCGGTGTATATCAAATCATAAATGTATCACATTATTAATCAATTAACAATATGTACTGTAAACTATTTTTGAGGTACATACTCTGGTAATGAGTTGTCTTGTTTGTCCAGTGGTGGAAGGACATGGATATGGGTAGAGTGTTGATTGCTAAGTTTTGTCTCTCCTCTTCCAGTGGAATATTTTGTTTCAACCTTTCTTACATTTTAATTTATGAAACTGGTCAATCCATTTTGTCTTTGTGGCATGGCCTTTTTCTTCAGTTTGTTGGTTTATCTTCTGAAAGAGAGTAAAAGAGAGACAATATATGGGTGAGGCTATGTCAGTTGATGGAGAAAATATGCAATGTCACCTGCAGAGTTCAGGTAGGCAATGTCCTACCATGGAACTGCAGCAGGTGAAACCAAAATAAACACCTTCTCAATGTAAAGTTGCCTCAATGTCTCCATTGCCTAGAAGTACGGAGACCTTTGGGTGAAGGCTGGATATCTTCAAAGGATTTTCCAGCATACTACGAAATTTTATAGTTGTGTGGCTTGGGCTATGAAAAGCTGTAATAAACTAGAGACCAGCATGTTGACTTTCCCGCCATGAGTTCTCAGTATTCATTACTACATTATTGTATGAGTATTCAGTGTTCATGGGTTGGATCACAGCCATCTTCAAACTCTGCCTTCACTTGAACTCAACAATTTGTGACACTATTGCATTGATCAAATCTGTCCACAGACATATAAGCACTGGCTAAACTACTCAAATCCACCCCTGATGTTGTGGCTATAAGGGTGTGACTGGGCTGAGATACAGTGTAGAGGCAAACCATTCATGCTCACATTCACACCTACAGGCCTTTTAGAGTTGCTAATTAATCATCGCTTGAACCTGATTATACCAGCAGGCTTTGTGCTGGTGGCATGTAACCTAAACTCAGCTACTGCATAGGGCTGTGTCAGATGATAGGTATAAAAAGATATGAAAAATCTGTAGAGTTCAGACATCTGATGGACATTATGCCAGCTTTGTACTGCACCAGCTACTGCAACAATTGTAAGCAAACCAAAGAGATTGCTACAAGACAGACCATCTCCTAAGCAGTTCCTTACCATTGTAGTGGGCCCGTATTGGCCAAGAACCACCAAACGTTCAGCTGGGGAGCTGGGTAGCAGAGGGATTTCCAAACATGATACGGGAATGACCATGAATTTCATTTTATTTGTGTGCTATTTGACAGTTCTGAGTTTGGACATGAGCAACCCCTACTTTTAGAAACTGTATTTTATCGCTCAGCAGTATAATTACAGAACGGAATTTAGGGTGTGGGTTGTTTTTGCGTCATATCTGACTGCAGCTTTATCTCCAGTGTCTCCTTGACCAGATTGTCATCAGTGTACAAATTATTTTAAAGAAGAAAAACATGATGGACATGAAAGTGAAAGAATCTATGTCTGAAGATGTTCTACGAGCTCAACTGTAGAGGTAAGGATTTTTTGACATCTATCCTTAAGGGTGGTTGTACAATGTGCTTGGAACTGGAGCTGATTTAATTTCAGCAATGAGTGCTTGTTAACTTTTTCTCCTTCTTTGATGCTTTACCTTTGTACATTTGTTAATTTCAATTTAATTTGATTAAAAATATTTCTGAAGAGTAATAAGTTTTCAGTTGTTGCATATTTTGTTGACAATTGTGGTGGTTTAGGTAATAAATTCAGTTTATATATGGAGTGTGTTTTTATCTTTACATGTTACCTCGATATTTTATTGTAGCCATGGGACGAATCTTGTCCAAACCTGAGCCCTGCCCACCTTCTCCTAAGAGTAAGATACTTTAAGACTACTGAACATTGAAGTATAACAGATCATGACATATTATCCATTTGTGCTCTTGTTATTTCCTTTTAATGTGACTCATATATACATCAACATGTGAACTTTACTTATCAGCTCTAGGTGAACCATGGAGGAACATACCATGGGGGTGAGTGATCCGTTCAGTATGTGATGGCTGTGTTGAAATATATTTGTTCTCCAACTAAATATTTTTAAAACCAAAACTTAACAAATTCATGTGGTGAGAATTCCTTTTTTTATCTTATTTATATTTGAGCTCTTGGTAGCCTCATGTTGGTAGCCAACATTCTGGAAAGTCTCGCCACTGTGCTGCACTGTGCTGCAACAACAAAATAAATTCTTCTTCATGGACCAGCTGGTGCGGGAAAGTCCAGTTTCATCAACTCAATCGACAGTGTTTTACAATGCAGAATGGCTGGTTGATCCATTCTGAATTCAATTCAATTCAATTCAGTTCAGTGCAATGGTGTTTTATTGGCATGACAGTTTGAGAAAAACAATATTGCCAAAGCATCAAAATACATTTTCCAAAAATACTAAATACAAAATTCAACAAACAACACCAGGATCGCTATACATGTATATAATAATTTGGTATTTACAGGTATATTATTTTGTCCAATATATAGGGAGTTTGCCATTTTTTTGTGCTGTCTGAATGTAAAGCAAGAATTATGATACCCTATATAGCAGACTCATTGTATCCCACAATGCAATCCAAATCATAAAAAGTAGTGTACAACTGATGGTCACTAACCAATATAGACCATCACCACTCAGGCTGAAAGACAGAAAAACGGTGCCAGAGTAGTGTCTCAAAGTGTTTTTCATTTTACTGATGAGCTCACCATATAATCCTTTACATTGAACTCCCTGGATAGTGAGTAGGGAGTAGTGAATGAGTGAGTGATTTCGGACACAACCTATGTCTGTTAGGGAAGCCGATTGGTATATCTGGAGCACCTGTGGTGGCCAGTATATTCCAGGATCTTAAAGTTGAGGCTGAAAACTAGCTATTCTCTCTCTGCTCCTCCCCCCAGGCACAGCACACCCTAACACTGCTGTCCGGGAAGAGAGAGACAGCTCTAAGAAAATACTGAAACAATATGAAAGGTCAAAGGGAGAGTGAAAGTGAAAGTGAAAGAAAGAATGAGAATGACTGGGCAACCCATATAGTTAAACGCAGCTAGAAATAGGAGAAGAGGAGAAGAGAGCTGAACATCACCATCATTGCTTGTAACACCACTTTGTTTTCAGAGGTGCAGCTTTGAGGTAAGAATCATTTATGTCAGCTATACTAAAATGTTGTAGTAGTGAATTTTGGCATTGTAAAACTGAAATGTTTATTTTACTGCACTGTTAAAAGCAATTAATAACAGATGAACAATGTAAGAATTTAGTAACACTTGACATGTTAGTAGTCTACTGTAGTTTATGGTTTGCCTCAATTTATTTTGCTTAAATTAAGTTTTGAGTCAATTTAGTTTTGCTTTTCAACATGGATGTAGCTGTAAGATTTTTCTCTTCTGTGCAGAAGGCATCAGGAATAGAGTGGGTGTTTTACTACTGTGCATAAATCTCAGTCTCTCCTCCCCCAGTTTAACAGATTCATTTAAGTATTCAAATTGAAGTATTCATTCACTTTGCCATAAGTACTTGCAGTCTCTGTTTTTGAAAATATTTAATTTACTGATTATTCTACATTAATTTAATTGACTGGTGACAATTGTTTTGGTTTGGTTAATGAAGTCCACATATAGAGAGTGTTTTTTCTTTACATGTTACCTCAATATTGTATTGCAGCCATGGGAAAAAGCTCGTCCAAACCTGAGCCCCCCACATCTTCTCCGAGTAAGATACTTTAAGTTTACAGAACATTGTTTAAACTAAATAACAGATAATGACACATTTTCCGATTTTGCTGATGTTTTCTTACCATGTGAACTTTACTTGTCAGCTTTTGATGAACCATGGAGGAAAATACTATGGGGGTGAGTGATGTGTTCAATATGTGGTGGCTGTATTGTTTAATTTTTTTCTTTAGCTAAATATTTTTAATACCAAAACTTCCCAAATTCATGTGTTGAGACTGTCTTTTGTTGTTATCTTTCTTATCCGTTGATATCTCAGTGACACTGTGATTTAACATCATGGATGACACAGCAACCAATTTGTGCATGCTATGCAAAATTGGTTAAAACAAATACATTTTCATCTACAACCTACTCTAAACTTTCTTTACTGAACAGCAACAAAGAGAGATATCTGCTGGAAGTGAAGAATTATCAATCCCATAACAATGAGCTCCAACATCTGAGAATTCTTCTTCATGGACCAGCTGGTGCTGGAAAGTCCAGTTTCATTAACTCAGTCGACAGTGTTTTACAAGGCAGAATGGCTGGTCGAGCTTTGACAGACGCAACCTCTAAGGAGAGCTTCACCAAAACAGTATGACCATTAGTTTAGCAACTATTTGTGATGAAACTATGTGAGCAACATACAAACTGCCTTACAAGCATCATTCAGTAGGTGGCACTGTTTTCATAAACCTGTTCTGATTTACAGTACAGAACTTACAAGATCCAAAAAGAAGAACCAGGGACCGTTTACCCTTTTGTCTTCACTGACATCATGGGCCTTGAGAAGGACTCAAACAAAGGGGTTGGAGTACAGGACATCATACTGGCTATGAAGGGACACGTAAAAGATGGTTACAAAGTACAATTATTGAATTCATTCAACTTTGTTGGACATATTTCAGTGATAAAATACAGCTTTGTGTTTTCTATATCCCATTTCATTTACATACATATAAGCAACTATTTACATACAAAAGTCATTCTTTAATTTTACTTTTTTTCCAGTTCAATCCTGTTACTCAATTATCTGAGGACGATCAAAACTACAACGGCTCCCCCAGTCTAAGTGACAAAGTTCATGTTCTGGTTTGTGTGATTGCTGCTGACACATTTAATATACTGGATGATGAAACAATGAAAAAGATGAGGGAGGTCAGACTTACAGCCAGTGACATGGGTAAGGGTTAGAGTTTGTTATTGTGTTTTTGAGTTTGAATAAAATAATCTGACAACATTGTCTTGACTGACTTGGATTCTGCTCTGTATCGACAGGGATTCCCCAAGTGGCTATTCTCACCAAAATTGATGAAGCCTGTCCTGAAGTCAAAAAAATTATAAGGAACGTGTATAAGAGCAAGTACCTGAATCAACTGGTAATTTCTATTGGTTATTTTCTAAACTTGTGATTTGCTTTTAAAATTGGAATATAATTTAGCTTTACATATTAATATTCTAACACAGAAATCTCCTTTGTTCAAATTCAGATGGAGGAATTGAATGTGAAGTTGGGTGTTCCACTGAACTGCATCTTTCCTGTGAAGAACTACCACAAGGAAATCAACATTGATGATGACATTGATGCACTGATTCTGAGTACACTGAGACAGATGATTAACTATGGGGAAGACTTTGTCAACAACCTGTAGATCTACAGTGCTAAAGCAAATCTTGTTTATCACAGAAAGAAAAATGGCATTTCATAATTTTCAAGTCGTTTCATTTCATGATTTGAAATGTACTTTCAAACAGTCATGTGCATGATAATGACACAAAATGGGCAATTTGTCCTTTTGTTTTTCATATACAAGCATGTAATGTAAAGTAGCCAGTATTGTATCTACTACAAGTTATCATAGAACCACGTTACCTTGCTGAATTAGAGCAGCAGTACCACTCTATGCATTTTGAGCTTTTGCAGTATTATGTTGTTTGCCATTCTTTCTTGATTCAGGTGGTCATTTGTGATGTTGTAGTTTCCCAGTATTCATGAATCATTTTCATTGACCAAATGTGGAAATCTTTGCTTTTTGCAAAAAGCACTTTACTTGCGGGAACTTAAAGTTTCCTTTTTGAGATATTTGTCTGTCATTGAGCCTGGAAATATTTCAGTGAGAGTTTGTGTACAATGTCAGTACAATATACTGTGCAAATAATCTTACGCTGTTAGCTTGTTGTGACGTCATCACGTGATCTGGTCAACAACTCAGCTGTTGTGATGGTGCCTTCAAAACCATCAGAAATTTTGGAATTCCAGGGCAACCTGGATCAGAAAAAGAACAGCTCAGAAGCTCTTGGTTGTTTATTACCTCCTAGCTGAGGGGATTTGCATGTCATTGTCACACTATGTATAATTATTGATATATTCCTAAATCTACAAATTACATAAATAAATTCTGTATCCATGGCATATTCTCTGCTTGATTGTGTTGGTGTAGCACTCAGAAACTAAAGTGGGCTGGACAGTCAAGACACAGCCACCAAACAAATTGTTCCGGGGACCACACTCACTAGCTTTTAAAATTTTATGAATGAATAATGAATAACACCGACGACTGTGAAACTCTCCGTATAGATGTTTTAGTGTGTGTGAACAAAATGTTATGGTGTTTATCGACGTTATTATCTTATTTTTGATTGACTACTAAACCGTGTGGTTTCGGTCAAACAGTGAAACTGGGAAGTCGAAGCTTTGAAAGAGCATTTGAAGGTAGCATGGGACAAGTAAGGAAAAAAGAGGAAGAAATCCACGTAGCCTATCTTGCATCGTAATAGTGCAGCCGTGTAATGTCTTCAATGTGTACGTACATATAAAGAAACGCTGCTCTCAATTACCCGGATAACGGTGTTCATAGTGGCGGGGTAACGCGGGATAACCCACATTGGTCCTGTTTGCTGAAAGGGAGAGGACTAAAAATGGAGCTGGAAGACGGAGTTGTGTACCAGGACGACCCGGGGACATCAGCGATGATGTCTGAGCGGGTGTCGGGCCTGGCCAACTCCATCTACCGCGAGTTCGAGAGGCTCATCGGTAAATACGACGAGGATGTGGTGAAGGAGCTAATGCCGCTGGTCGTAGCCGTGCTGGAGAACCTGGACTCGGTGTTCGCAGAGAACCAGGAGCACGAAGTGGAGCTGGAGCTGCTGAAGGAGGACAACGAGCAGCTCATCACCCAGTACGAGCGGGAGAAAGCGCTGAGGAAACATGCAGAGGAGGTGAGTTCAATTGAGCTTATTAATAAACCACACTTTGACGGCTAGTATATTTTAGTTTTAGAGGGGGAGGTGAAGGCTGCTTCAGGTGCTTTCTCCTCCCAGCATCCCTGAGCGATGTATTAACCTATACACGTGGCCGGGCAGCATCCATGGTGTTCATTGGAGATGTAAACAAGGCAGTGTCATGGCTAACGTCAGGCTGAAAGGGCCATCTCTTTGTATGAGCTGTGTGTTTCTTGCAGGACGGCCAGTGACATAACACACTGACTGCATCTCTGCTCCAAGGGTGAGAGGTCTTCACCACTGCCTCAACAAAAGGCATCTTCCTAACGAGCAAATCATCAGATATAGCTACACCTATAATCTATCAGCTGGCCTATTGCGTCAGATAGTGAAGTCACGTCTGAGCCTCTGTGAGACCCTGACTGAAGAAACAGCAGGTGAAGTGACTCAGCATTTTGAACCATCACTGTAAACTAAGTGTAAAACAAAACTGGGCAGAGAAGATGGAGACAGGCAGGCGGAAAGAGGGATGGCAGATTTGCTTGTTAAATAGCTGCTCTAGGCATAAATGTCACAAAAACATCCCACCACAGCTTTACCCAAACCATCCATTATGATGATCATATCATGTATATAGTCCACCACCGTGCACTGCCTGTTATGAGTAAAACTCATTCATTCAAATTTCTGCTTAAGTAAAAGTATTATCAAGAAAATGCGCTCAAAGTATGTAAGTATGCAAGTAAGTTGTTAGTACTGATGCACCAGTGTGTAAGCAGAATTTTACTGTTGAATCTGGTTGAGGTCAAGCTAGTTTTAACTACTGCATATACTGTTGGTTTGTTTAGTCTTTGGTCAGGCTTCCTTCTCAGTGTTACAAGTTAAATCTGAGGGGTCATGATATAATTAATGGGAGGAAGGAAAATAAAAATAAATCACACAGATCTACTTTTTTTTGTACCTTGACGTCTTTGGGCCTACAACAGTTATTTAAATGGAACCATCTGAGAACTTTAGAGGGAAGATGGCGCTTTGGTGGAACTGATAACTTGAACCACTGATTTAATCTTAATGTGTGTTGTATTTTCTAAGCTTATTGTATGTTTCATCTGAATTCTTAATCTGAAAACTAGAAACTACAGTTGTCAAATAAATGGAATAGAGTAAAGAGTGCCAGACATTGCCAAAAAAAAAAACACCCAGATGTGTGTTTGTGTGTGTCTGTGTGTATGTGTGTTTTATGGATCTTATATTTTTGGCTGGGATAATGCATAAGATGTGCTTGGTTTTTATGGGTGAATCTTCTGCCTCCTGGCCGGGAGCCTCTGTATGAAGGGCGATGTGATGTGACTCAGGCCGTCTGTCCCAGCTTGCCTTTTTGACTCAGGGCATCGGGACGCCCAATATGATGTGGACATGTAGACCCTTCCATGCACACAGTGACACTGAAGCAGAGTGACAACCAGACACACAAACACTCATGCACACAAACCCACTGACATGGTTCATCCTGCACTGTTAGAGTAGAGAAATGCACATGGTATGGTTAAACCGGATTGTCTTGACTGAGGAGGAGTGAGCAGTGGTACACTGAGTCTGTTGGAGAGGCTCAGTATTACTTCCAGGTCATGTGCTCCTTTGTCAGAAACTAGCAGAAAGAGAGCGTTCCCCAGCTTGCATTTTTTTTTTCCTTTTCTTTTTTTTTGGGGGATTTTAGTGTCAAAATTCTGGCATCTCAGACTGACCCCCCCCCCCCACATTGTATCATATGACACAAAGGGTGTCATGTTTCTGGTTGGGAGGCTGGTTCCAGATGAGATGATCAGTTCAAGCCTTCACATGTATTGACTTTTTTCTTTTAAAGACCCCCCTTTTGTTTTTTAGACCTTTTACTCCCTGGGTTGCCCATTCATATCGTTTCAGATTATAGATTTTACAGCAGGTCATTCTGTGGCTGGGTACAGGTGTAAAACCCATATTTTTACTAATAATTTGAAGACATAGGCATAAAATTAAACAGCACAAATTCCATCCATCCATTTTCTACCACTTATCCTCTAGTAGGGTCGCAGGGGGGCTGGAGCCTATCCCAGCATCCTTTCGGGCGAGAGGCAGGGTACACCCTGGACAGGTCGCCAGTCCATCGCAGGGCACACAGAGACAAACAACCATTCACTCTCACATTCATACCTATGGTCAATTTGGAGTAACCAATTAGCCTAGTCCCCATTTGCATGTCTTTGGACTGTGGGAGGAAGCCGGAGTACCCGGAGAGAACCCACACAAGCAAGGGGAGAACATGCAAACTCCACACAGAAAGACCCCGCGTCCGAGCCGGGACAAACACACGCACCCTTCTTGCTGTGAGGCGACAGGGCTAACCACTGCACCACCGTGCCGCCTAACAGCACAAATTACTTATGATATTGATGACTGTGTGGAAATCATTGATTTTGATTAAACCTGAGGCATCTAGCCAGCTGTTCAGTCCATTAAAAGTAATCTGTGTTTTTTTTCTCCAGTTTCTCTGCAAAAATGCCCATCAAAACTTCCAAGAGACCAACACTGTAAAACCCAATACCCAAAACAATACTCAGTGTTCTGTCATAAAAGACCAAGAAAACCAGAAAATATTCACTTTTAAGAAGCTGAAAGTTGTAAATCTGTGATATTTAATTTGATTTTACACAAAGTTTGATCATTTCTACACAAAAGTTGCTGATAATATAAATTTGGTAAACCTGAATGAAAACTCTGCAGTGGCCCCTTCATATCTGCAATAAACATAATTCTATAGGTGCAAAAAAGAAAAATGACTGTGATCTTGTGATCATTTGTCATTGGGTCTGGACATTTAGTGCCAGGCAGTCTGTAACGTGTTTATATGTTAAAATACAGTGGGATTCATGTGTTCAGAGGAAGCAGGGCAGCCACAATGGGGCCTTGGCTTGCTCAGCTGGACAGGATGTGGACGCTGACACACACACACACACACACACACACAAACACAAACACACATATACACATACACTCTCCCTCTTAGAGGTCTGGCTAGAAGAAAACTAGGAAGAACCGGAATTTCCATATGAATCAATAAGATTAAGATCTTGCCCCTCTTGCACTGATTCAGACATATTTATATATCCATTGTCATGGTTGTGGAAAGTTATGTTGTCACAGTGATTCATGTGGCTTATGCTATTATATTAAACATTGCCAAAAAAAGTTTTGTCCATCCAACAGCTGTTGTTAGACTAAATGTTTTAGCTCAGTGTAATATAAAATACATTATACCAATGCTGCCTGTTTCTTGAATATAAGTATAGTAAAAAAAATGTTCGGAGATGCATTAATGGTTTCATTAATTTAGTGACATCAGTAGCACACTCATGTTTAGATGCATCTTGGTGAGAGATTAGCTGCTGTAGATCAATGTTCTATTTTTTCAGTTAACAATATAAGAAAAAAAAAACTCAAATGATAGGTTATAGATTGATTGCTAAAAAGTCTGACCAAGCTCTTTGTGTGTGTGTGTGTGTGTGTGTGTGTGTGTGTGTGTGTGTGTGTGTGTGTGTGTGTGTGGTGTGTGTGTGTGTGTGTGTGTGTGTGTGTGTGTGTGTGTGTGTGTGTGAGTAGAAGTTCATTGAGTTTGAGGACACTCATGAACAGGAGAAGAAGGACCTGCAGAACCATGTGGACCGAATGGAGTCTCACTCCCGGCAACTGGAGCTCAAGATCAAGAACTACGCAGACCAGAGTAAGCACACACACACACAGACACACACTATCATTGACATAATGCGTTCCCAAGCCCCTTACCCTAACTCAACCATCGCATCTAAATGCCTAAGCTAAACCCAATTCTAACCTTAACAGCCATTTAAACTTGTGGGTCCTGCAAAGCTGTAGGGACCCAAAAGTATAGCGGGCTCCCGGTTTTTAGACCCCATGAATCTGGTAAAGCAATTAAAAAAAACAAAAAAAAAACACATACACACATGCACCCATGTAAGCAAAATTTGATAATTTATTACATCTTGTCATTCCTCTCACAGTCACTGTGTTATGGACTCATTTCTCCCTCTGCTTTTGCCATTTTTTTATTCTCGTCATGCCACCTTCCTCACTACTTTGATGTCTCTGTCATGGCTCGTTATGTGCGCACACACACACACACACACACGCACACACACACACACACACAAAACCATACACACCCACACACTCTTTTTTTCACTATTCGCGGGGGTAACAGTAATGGGATTATAGGATTTCTGTTATTCCCGTACTCCTAATGCGGCAGTGCATTACCGCCCATCGTATTGGTGGATTAAGGAATGGAGGCAAAGCAATTGGCTCAAATGCTCTGTTGTGCTGGATATAGTGGATTCACACAGTGACTGGTCCAGTATAAAAATGGCAAAGCAAGACAGCAATATCATTAATTCACACAAAACTGTGATGGGGAAGAAAACATGAAATTCTTACATATTTTAATTTTTGGCCCAGGTTTTAACAAAGCAAACAGAAGAAGCTCAATGTTTGGTTTATTCTGGAAAATCAAATGTAAATTATTTCGTGATTTTGTTCCATTGTCAGTCATAATTAACTTAAAATTTGTGTACACCCTCCGTGTTACTAGTCAGTGGGTCTAATCATCCCTCTGCCGCTCCCACTGAATGGTAAATCATTTATTCATTACTGTATGTGGCAGCACCTGAGCTGGCTGTGTCCCGAGGCCTCTAGGACAGAGTCCACAGCTACTGCAAAGTTAACAAGGCTGCAGCCAGTGGCAGCTAATAGGCGATGACGGCACATCTTAGATTTTTGAAGCTATTCTCATGGCTTTAATTTAACTTGCGTGGCACTGAATACAACAATAATCTTGTCAGTTTTACTTTATAGTTGTCTAGTTTTATTCGTCACTGTCTTGAACTCTCATTAGGGACACTTGAAACTCTCATCTGCACCATCACGCTGAGATCCAGGCTGAATTTGATGAGTGATTATGAGATACGCTGCTATTTTTATGTATTGTATTAATGTAAGGCCTCAGCCCATTGAACTTGCATTGGTCAAGCGAAAGGCATCCGACAATCTCATGAAGATTTCTCCATAGACACACATCTCACTCTCTAGGCTTCTCAGCAGAAATATGTTATGATATTAAATGGACCTCGGTGGACGATTACACTCCCACAGAGATCAGGTGAAATGACAGTGTTTTCATTTCTGTTGTGTTGTTTCTAACATCCTGTTAGAACGAATAATACAGAAAGAAAGTAATTTTATTGACCCGTGCTAACCAGATTTCCTGAGCAGTAAATTGTAAATTCAATCAGTGTTACAGCCTTAATGTTCAGCCTCACATTCCACACTCAGTGATTTGTCATTCTCGCACATCACTAATACGAACACACAGGAGCAGGAGGGATTACTTCACACTTCAACTATCTCCCCTGTGTATAGCCTGTTAGGCCTTGACTTCATTACATGTTTCTCTGAATTTGATGACTCACGATAGTAGAATGAAATCCCTCGGCAGTGTCAAAATACACACATAGGCAAGACATGCTCACACAACATGTAGAAGCTTTAGCTGCCGTAATTGATAGTATCCATGCTTTATACATCTGTCTGCCACAGCAGCTCTCGGTGTTGCTTAGGCTAAACCTGACACACTAATAGGGGATTAGGTGTTTTTGTCACTTCTTAAATTGGCCCAACATTGAAACCCATTTGAGTGAGATTACCCCCTTTGCCTGCCTGGTAGAGCAAAATTATGCACACACTTTTACATATATGACTGTGCTACAGTTTGCACCTGAACAGTCAAAAATGAAAAAAAAATTGTAATGGTGCTGTTCTTTTCTTGTCAGGTGCAATGAAGGATCTTAAAGGGTTAATAATATATGATCTATGATCTATAGCCTTTCTATGGAAGTATTGTGTTGCTGGTCACTGTATTATGGTCCAGATTCTAGTTGCAATATTTAGAATTTTTCATTTCCATTTTGTCTTGCACCTCGTAAAGTGACTGCCTTCAACTGAGCACTGTTGTCGTCTGTTTCAGTCGGCAGGTTAGAAGAACGAGAGCTGGAGCTCAAGAAGGAATACAACTCCCTCCATCAGAGACACACAGAGGTAAGTGGGCGAGGAAGGACGGAAGGAAGGAAGGAAGAAAGGAAGGAAATGTTGTGCAGTTGTAATCGTTAATGACATACATGACTGGTTTCCTCTGGGTATTTTGCTTTGACTTTTGCAGATGATCCATAATTATATGGAGCATGTAGAGAGGATCAAAATGCAGCAGATTAGTGAGACTTCAGAGTCGAGCACGGGCGGCCGAGTCAGGTAAGATCACACAGGATAAATTTGTGTTAAGAAACTAATGTGAAGAACAATATCTTTCATGGCAAAATAACACTCTTGCACCAAACTTGTGAACATGTTTATGTGAACTTGACTGATCTTTTACCTACAAATTAAACACTTAGCGGTTAACAAGGGCTCAACTGAGACAATATATTGAGATTGAGCCATTGAGAAAACATGACCAGCAATCTATTTTCTTATCGCTCTTACCAATGCAGGAGAGAGCGGCCTCTTTCTTTGGGGATTTTCCCCTCATCTGGTGGGGCGTCTCTGCTAATCCCAGACCCCCAGGCCAAAGCAGAGACACCGGGCACAGAGGGCTGGAGGTTCACCGACCCAGCACAGCCACGGTCCAACACTAGCCTCAAGGTGTGTGTGTGTGTGTGTGTCTGTGTAGATGCCATCTCCTCCATATGATCACAGCTGGTGCAAAATAAAGACTTATTCCAGTGTGATATTTCCTTTCTGCAGAGAATGAACTCAGGTCAGGGTCAGACTACATGATATCAGCTTGATGACTCTTATGGGGAGTTTGGAAATCAGCGTCAGTTAGTGCAGCATAGTGAAAGACAAACAACGCTATGTTTGTGACTCAAAGACCGACATGCAAGAATATTTTTGGATTTTTATGACTGTGTCCTCCTCTTCATTATTTCCTCATTATATTTGGTCCAGAGTCTCAGTTGTGCGTCTTATTTTGCGACGTGTAAGATGCTGATTGTTCGATCTGAATTCTGATGATCATAAAATGATGAAAAAACATTTTTTAGTCTGATCCGATTATTACTCGGTTCAATAAACTGTTAAGAGCAAGTCGTCAAAATGACAACACTTGTTTCAAATGGTGATTTTAAAAATAGGTGTCGATAGTTAACAAACATAAAATATGATCACCGTTAATCACATTTCCTACTGCTAGAGGACTTTTGCACTTTTGGCTTCGGGTCCATTTAAAAATAGAGGGCCTTTGATAGGGCTGGGGCGTGCTTAAGCGTATTTTAGTAGGCATCTGACAAGGCGATCTCTGTTTTCCGACATCCTCCTTAACCTCCTCTTTAGCCACTGATGAATATGCAAACTTCCCCTAGTGCAGCAGTCAGAGGAGGTCATTAGATATATCTCATGAATATTCATAAGTGCAACAATCTCCTTTTTGATGCAGGCACAAATTATGATATTTAGCTTTGTCATGTGATGTGTATTTGCAGTGATTTCAGCTCATGTTAAACTCAGTCCTCTCGCACATTATAATGGTTGTGCTCTGTCAGCTGCAGTTAAGCTGTTCTCTATGCAAAACAATAATTTGCATTCTCCAAAACAGTTTTGCACTGTGGACTATGTTTGTATCTGTGGCAGTTAGGACCTGGAGGGTGACAGTGTTATTTCATCCCACTGCTGCGTTTTTTTGTTTAAACTGGGACATCAGCTCTGCGGCGCGGTGCATGATGGGAGTGATGCCGCTGTATGGCTCGCAGCCAGTCGCTGAGGGAGAAAAAGGCTAGCTGGAATGTGATTGGTTCTTATGTAATCGGTGCTACAGGACGGTTATTGTTGAGCCATGGCCTTTTGAACGTGAGTGGCTTTGATATGCAGAAAGGCTCTGAGAGTTGAAGAGAAACGTCATATTTATTTATGGGAGCGGTAGGTGTTACCTTGGCGAGTGAAAAGGAACGACAGGTTAATGACATGCACATGCCCGCATGCTAGCCATGATCTAATCTCCATCCACAATATGATCATAAAAGCAAAACCATCCCATTGCCTTTTAAAAATGGCAAAATTATATTTAGTATTTTAATAACATTACATTTAGTTTCATTTGAAGGGACCTTAACAAGACAGTGCCACATAAAGGATGAGTTCACATTTTTCAAAAAATATTTTTAAACCAGTACTGACATGCCCATGTGCACTGTCTGTATAAAATGCTTTCTAAAGTTAGACTGAAGCTTGAGGCTTCAGCCTGAGTCAGTCAAATCAAGTGGAGAGCTACCAAAGTTACAATCTGTTTAGTACCAGATTCCCTCTTGGTGTTTCTGTCCCTCTGCCATATTTCAGCAGGAAAACACTATCTCAACAAAAAGAAAGAGGACTGTGGATTTTATTACCCATCATTTTCACTGAAGTAATAGTTTTACTTATTTATGAAGTGAAAACATCCAATATTTGTTTGTCATGCAAAAACCTGCTTGGATTTCTCCATTTCATATCAGTATGCAAATTGCAAAGTATTTTGGCTGTAGGTTAGATGAAAGAAGCAATTTGGTTTGGGCGGGAAGTGAACTACTGATTACTATCAGGAAAATAGTGATAAATTTCTTCCAGCACAAGATGACGTCAATTAATGTCTTGTTTCGTCTGGCCAACAGTCCAAAATCCAAACATGGTCACTTTACTATCACATAAGCCAAAAAGCAACAAATATTCACAACTGAGAAGCTGGAACTGGGGAGTTTTTTTTCTTAATAATAATAGCAGATTATTTTCTTTCGATTGACAAATCAATCAATTAACTAATTGTTTCAGCTCTACAGTTGGTAGCATTAGTCAGATTTAGATTCAGATTTATTATTTTCTAGATATAGTAAGATGAGTAACGAAAACGATTAATTAATGTGATTTAAAGAAGTATCTATTGCTTGTAGTGTGGACCAGACAGTTGACACTCACGCGCAGCTGTAAATTTTGCCACACACAGTAGTACTTTTCCATTCACTTCACAGACATGCACATTTGGAGGTGTATGCATTTCTCCTAATCTGCTTCTGCACATATGAGCTTCATTCTTACTCTCCCCCCCAAGCAGTTGGACTTTGCTGACCCCCCAAAGGAAAGGGAGGGTAAGAGTGCGCAGGACTCTACTTGGGGGAATTCACTGGCAGACGACTGCAAGGTAGTTGGATGAGTGGCGGCTAGCGGAAGTGCCAGCAGCAGCAGCACGCCTGCATTGGCTGTGGACAGCACAGTGTTTGTGTGTGTGTGTGTGTGTGTGTGTGTGTGTGCGTGCGAGCTTCAGTAGTCTCCTCCACTCTGCTGTTTCATCTTTTCAAAACCGTCGCCTCTCGCTTTGTGCATTTATAGACCCTCACTTCACAGACCACCTGTGCTAGATTGAGCTACATGCAACCATATCCTGTCTGTAGGCTACACTGGGGTCTTTCAAAATAAGTGCACGCACCAATCAGCTGTGTCACAGATGGGATCGGTTAATTATTAATCTGTCATATTCAATAACAGTGTGGTTGCATCTGGCCTCTGATTTGCTTTTCATTTCAGTAAAAAATGCATGAGTTTTATATTTCACGTTTTTTTTGTATTTTTGCTTCATTCATGTTCTTTACTGATCACTCATCGTAAAACAACATAACATTATACATTTAAACAGTATGCTGTCTCTTATTGCTGTAGTTGTGTAACATTAGTTTTAGTCCAGTAGATTTATCATTTTAGTCTAAACCGTTTTTTGTTTTTGAGCCCTGTGTCAGTTGTGTTGTGTATTAGAGGTAGAATGGCAGCTCTCATTGTGCCCTCATAATATATGTTCAGTTGATTGTGTGTGAACCCTCCCACCCCGCTGCAGCCTGTGTAGCTCTCTGTGAACTTTGTGTCTGTGTTTATGTTGCTCATGTATCCCTCTGTGCATCTGAAAGACATACAGCTTCTTTAGTGTTTCAAGGTTCTTTCTTTTTTGTGTTCAATAACAGTATTTCTATCACGTGTCCTGATGTTTTCTTGAGTTCCAGTTTTAGTATTTAGTATTTCAGATTTCTGTGTTTAAGGAATTTTTTTCCTTCTTTCTTTCTTTCTTTTTTTCTTTTTTTTTTGACGGAGAGCTAAAAATAAAGTTTTAGTTTTAGAAGAAATCATTACGTACGGTGCTCTTGCTCTCCACAATCTAAGAGCTGAGGAAAATTAGACTCTTGTGTCTTCTGTTGTACTGCATGTAGTGAATCCCCAACGTTTGTGATTAGCACCTTGTCTGTCCCTACAGCTTTCCACGTTGACCTGTGTTGTTATGTTGTTGTTTTGTTTGTGGTCAGAATATGTCCAATAGGTTTTTATTCCTTCATTTTGAAACGATTCATTTCGTCTTGGCCCTTGACTCTAAGCAGCTCTCTGTAATCGTTGCCATAAACTAGTCCCTGTGTTTACAGGATGAGTTGTCAGACTTCAACGGCTCCAAGTCGGCCACGCCGATGTCCACCACTGCCTCCGACATGGAGAGGGAAGACGGGAACAGTAAGAGCACTGAGGTGCAGGCTGCACCAGGGACCAGATCCATATCAGTGGGTAGGATCAAACATCATGAAACTGTTATCTACGGATTCACAATCATTAGTCATCCGTTAGTTTTGGTGGCTTTCATGCATTTCTCTCTTTTGTCATTTACCATATATGACACAAATGTTTTGACAGACTGTGTTTATGCTTCACAGGTGTCACAGAAGAATCTTTTTGTGTTACTTTAGTCTAAAAATACCACAAATAAAGACACTCTTTGCAGATTTTCAGTCACGCATTCATTGTTCTCTTTGGTAATTTGGTGTGTTTTATGTCTCCTGAAGGTTTGCCAGAGAATGAGGACAGCTCAGATGTGCAGGACATTATTGAGTCCACTCCTGAGCTGGACATGGATCTGGGTGGATACAAGATCTGCAGGTAGTACAAAAAAACTTGCTGTTGGTCCAGTTTTAAACAGGGTAGCGAAACATCACCTCCTGTTGTTTATTGCTCTTTCAGTACCCCAACCAAAGGTATTGAGAACATGGCATTTGACCGCAATACGGACTCTCTGTTTGAGGAGCTGTCGTCTGCAGGCACTGGCCTCATAGGGGATGTGGATGAAGGGGCCGACCTGCTGGGTGAGTAAGAGCTCTATCTTCATTGGACCAATGTAGCACTGAAATGGAATAATGTGGCAGAAATCCTGTCGGATCCTCTGGATTAATTTCATCTGGGTTGTTGTAACTTTCTGTAATGAAACTGAAATGTCTAGAAATACTTTGATTTTAGGGTAAATAATCTTAAGAAAATAAATAGATATGAAATGAGATGCAATACTTTTTACAATCTGACTTTGATTTAGTACTGATGGTTCCCTGCTGATTACATTTAAGGGTTACATTTAAAGATGGATGCCAGTATTTATGAAGCCTGTTTTTTATTTTGTAAGTGGCCGTGGTATAGTAATAATACAGGTAAACATACACTTTGAGGTGTCCTGATTCAGAAAACAATAGACTGTGTGGAGCAAACTTGAGTCCACTTCAGGTTGCATTGTTCTTTTAATGAAAAGATTTTGTGACATCAGAGAAGTTTTGGCTGTTTTACTGAAGCTTATGCTGCTACGTTTGGCTAATAGCTGTCGTCCTACTGATAGCACTAGTTCCAAACTCACTGTTACTCCAACTCCTGCTGTTTGCTCTGAAGCTACACCACCTGCTGTTATATTACGCTGTGTTAGCCATCTACCCATGCTAACATCACCTCTCTCTCTCCCCGTGTCTCATCCTCTGGCTTTTATCCATAATCCCAGTGGAGTACTCTGGTGTGTATGACCTCAAGCCTTTCCTTAGCTTAACATTCTTCTGCAATGTCCCTTTGACCCATACTCATTAGTCACTTTCTGCCATATCCGCCATTGTTACAGCTCACAGCTTCTTCTTCATAATGTTTGATAACAGTTTCAGTAGGTTCACTAATGCACAGTTAACTGCATTTCAGCTGCCTACTTTTGACTTTTGACTACTTTTGACAAAGTTTGGTGCATGGATGAAGGAGTTTAATGCTTCCTTTGTTGGCCTAACTGTTCTTTTTACAGCTTGAAATATTTTTTTTGCCTTCGTATTTTCCTCTTTTCCTTCTCTCTACTGCTGTGATTGTTGTATGTAACTAGCCTTAGATATTTGGCAGCATCTCTTCCTGTTTGCTTGTGGAGTCAACAGCTACATGTTCAGCTCTGGCTCCTTCATCATTTTGGTCATTCCACTGGCTCAAACTATTTCGGCATTTCTCTCTCTTTCTCTCTCTTCCTTACTCTTTCCGCCTGACTTGGATTGCATGGTTTTCTCAGACCTTAGTTTGATTGGTAAGACCTCACCCACTCTATCCATCCTTCTCCTGTCAGTGATGTGACGTGTGCTGTGAGTTTGTGTGTTTGTGGTCGTTTTGTGTGCTGTGAAACTTACAGTAACAAATATCTCACTAGGAGATATTTCACATCTTATGTAGTGTATTGTTGGATTCTCTTAGTATGGATACAGTGGTTCATTTTAATATGTAATGCATCTGTAGTCACTGCTCCAGATTGTTTTTCATGTGATAAAAGTCTAACATCATTAACACTTCTGTTCAGGTATGGGCCGGGAAGTTGAAAATCTCATTCAGGAGAATTCACAACTGCTTGAGACAAAGTAAGTGCAAAGCTTAATGTTTTCTTTAATGACTTTTACATTTGATATTCCTTAACTGGACTATCAATGTACATTGGCCCCAGAGGAAATATAAATAGAAAAAATACTGAATAATTATTGTTCCCTGTCCCCCCAGGAATGCCCTGAACGTAGTGAATAAAGACTTGATATTGAAAGTGGATGAGTTGACCTGTGAGAAGGAGATGTTGCAAGGAGAGATGGAGGCCGTGCTGCAGGCCAAGACCAAGCTGGAGGACAAGACCAGAGAGCTGGAGGAGGAGCTCAAGAAGTAAGACACAGTAGCAACTTGGCAATTCATTACTACAGTGCTTGTGAACTGCGAAATAACGACAGAACTTGTACTATGTATCTCGCATATATAAAATAAATGGTCTTTTTCAGAGTGCGACTGGAGGTGGAGGACATGAAACAGAAAACTAAAGATGAAGAAGATGTGAGTCTTCCGCAACTGAACTATTCGCAGCTTTTCTATGCATATATAACATGTTTGTTCTGTTTCTGTCAAGATGTAGCTCATTCCTAAAATACGAAATGTATTTCTGTGTGGTCACATGTGGGTTTAATTGTGTGCTGCCACAGAGTGATGTGCCTACGGCCCAGAGGAAGCGTTTCACCAGAGTGGAAATGGCCAGGGTGCTGATGGAGAGAAACCAGTACAAAGAGAGACTGATGGAGCTTCAGGAAGCTGTGCGGTGGACGGAGATGATCAGGTACAGAACACGGGGCTGCAAAGTTACACATGTACATAATCCCCGTTTTTGTGCCTGTACTTGTGTGTGTCCTAAAATGACAGTTAACATGACCTTCATCATCTTCTTTAGGGCCTCAAGGGAAAATCCAACACTGACAGAAAAAAAGAAATCCAGCATCTGGCAGTTGTGAGTCCTCTCTGTTTTTGAAAAAAACTACAATATTTATCCACCTTTCGTCAGGGCTTTAGTTTTGACAGTCTCCCAAGTTAACTCTTGTGACATTTTCTCCCAAGTTATTCAAATATTTTTTTTTTCCTTATCTCTTCCGTGATGTTCTGTTGAATTGGCAGCATTAGGTAAAGATGGTTTAATAAACCTTCTCCCTGCCAAACCTCGCTCTTGCCCTCCATTGACCAAAACTACTCCTCCATCACAAATGAATCCAACTTTGATGTGTCTCTATCCATAATCTTTGCTCTCCGTGCAGTGCATCAGTCGTTGTTATCACAAACTGCTCAGACATGACTCTCCCTGTGCCCCCCGGGCTTTCCTGTCTCCTGCCTGCTGTGTGCCTTTTTGATGTTTTTCCACTCTGTCTGCTCAAAGGCGCTAAAGAGGGACAGAGTTCCCCCAGCAGCCTAAATACATGTTCAGGTTCTGTCTTAAGTCCTATGCAGATCAATTTTTTTTTAATTGTAAGAAATATCAAACAGATTGAAGTGGTTGTCTTAAAAATTAAGCAGCAAGCTAGAACCTCATATGTTGTTTGATTTCACTTAACCACAGATGGTCCTGGGTGGGAAATAACAACGTATTAGTCACTGCATCAGTTTTCAGTCTGATATTTTTTTAATGAAATATGTTAACGTATTGTGCCCATTTCTCCCCCATTTTTTCTGCTTATCAGTTTCCAATGTATAGTTAATATGGAAACTATGAATTGTACAGGACAGCATGACTGAACATCATTCTGAAACAATGAATTAGACAGATGTTGGAAGATATTCTTTTTTTTTTTGAACTGTGATTTTTTTTAATTTTTTTATCTGTTTATTCAAACTGGCAACACTTTGATCTACACGTGCTAAATTATGTATAATTTATACATGGATATATGCTGCTTTTCACAGAGACTTTGCCCTGGGTATTGTATTTATTTTTTTTAAACTCTGGTGCCAATGACATCGACAGTAAGTCTCACTACCCCTGTGCAAGACTACCTTATAAAAGTGTGAAACTATCTAGTTAGATACCATTGATACTTGGTGGTAAAGACACAAATAGGAGTTAATAGGAAGTGCTCAGCTATACCACAACTCCCAGCATGCTTTATGTCACTGTACAGTAAATGTTGGTGGTTGTTCCTCGGTTGTCTGGTTGGTTGGTGACCCCCACTACCTTGCTTTTTCCCCGCACTCCTGTCGGCTCTTGTTTCCCTCTTGGCTTTCTGTAACTTCACCACCTGCAGCTTCAGCAGACTGTTTAGCTCCTCCTCCAGTTCCCCGGCTATAAAGAAGGTGGACTCCCAGTCCAACGTGAAATACAACGCCCCGGGCGGCATGGTAAAGAGGAGTAGCACCTTCTCCCAGTTCCCCACGGAGAAGTCCAAGACCTTCGACTTCCTCAATGAAGAGTGAGTAATGGAGTCATGTGACTGAGTTTGGGGCATTTTATCAAGGCGAACATGTTTAGAAAAATTCTGAAAAGGGCACAGAAAGTGAAACTTATGATTCACTCCTATAATATTTGTTGGAATATTTTCACTTAATGCCCTGTGATAATGGACGTGTTTATAATGTACCATACGTTAGCTGATGACATGTTCTCTGTCTTCGCTCTACTTTTAGAAAGGACCAGTGCAGTTCGCCATCGCGTAAAGAGCAGAAAAGGGCCCAGTACAGACAGGTGAAGGCCCACATGCAGAAGGAGGATGGACGAGTCACTGCGCACGGCTGGAGCCTGCCCAGCAAATACAAGGTAGGAAGTGAAGGTTTGAATAGGAATTAAGTAGAAGAAAATATTAGATCAGTGATATTGATCAAGACTGTCGATAGTAATTTGGTTCAGTTAACTCTGCTACTCTCGACTGAAGAATATTTTGCTTTTATTTCATTTACTTATGAATGTAGCTGATATTTCTTTCAGCCATGCTTAAATGGACACCATGTTTAGGGTACAGTGGGAAAATGTAATTTACTTCCTGCTGCATTACTGCATCTCTTCACAACAGACAAACACACCAAAATCAAGCATTATCGCAGTAGTTTCACTCCATATTTTGCTGATTCAAATGATTATCGACCATTCAAAGAAACTTCACTACATTCCCAAATTGTTTTCTAAGGTTTCTGGCTTTAAGCAGTGTTGAATATGTCGCCTTTTTGTTAAAACTTCTGTGAAAATCTTTTCTAAAAGCCTTTACATTCGCTGCATTTACCCTCACAGGTGGCAAATGGTGGACAGGTGGAGAACAAAATGAACTTACCTGTACCAGTATACTTGAGACCTCTGGATCAGAAAGATGCTTCTATGAAGGTACTTCATTTTAAAAAAAACTTTAATGCACAAAACATTCTATGTGGCTTTTTGTGCATTTTGTTGAATTGTGAAGAAAGTGAGATATTCATTATGTATTCCCTCTGTTTCTCCCAGCTGTGGTGTGCTGCAGGGGTCAACCTGTGTGGGGGGAGGATATCAGAGCTTACTAAGCAGACGAAAGGCTCTCAGAGTAGCCTGGACGAGCTGGAGCAAGAGAGTAAGGTGAGAGGAAGTTTAAGGAAGAGGCTGCTCTCATTCTGAGGTGTTTTTGTATTATTATGATGTTTGAACTGGAGCTACACTGTGTGTCCGATGAGTTCTTCAAACTTTATGTTCTGTTGAGGCTGTTGGCTGATTTTTGTTTTGTCCACAAGGATCAGGACAAAGTGGAGCAGGAGAAGGAGAAAGAGCTGATACTTCAGGATGAGGTGTCCAGTAGGGTGTGGGTGTGCACCAGCACCCACTCCTCTACCAAGGTTATGGTGCTGGATGCCAGTCAGCCCTCTGACCTACTTGACAGCTTCTACGCCTGCAACACCCACGTCGTCTGCATTGCCAGTGTGCCAGGTAGGTTGATTTTCATTCATCATCTGTAACTGCTTCATTCCTTTCTGATTCAGTCTGCTCTGAATTTTGACTGTTTTTTTTTCTTCAGGGGTGTTGGAGACTGATTATCCGGCAGGTGAGGAGGTACCCCAGGACCCGGAGGCTAGCCAAGGTGACGGGGTGTCACTGGCCGGCAGCGTAGCCAGTGTGGGCTCTACAGGCAGCGATGGTGCCATGGCCGCTGAGGGAACCACTGCCATCCCCCAGACGGCCAGCGCAGGTGTCACAGACCAGCCTGCTGAGCATATCGTCACCTCTGGCTCAGGTAGTTATCTGCTGTCCTGTTATCCATGTTTGCCAGTGATAAGGCCAATGAAGCCACATTCACTCCTCCCCACCCAAGAATATATGACCATCTACCTTTTTCATTGTTTGTTTGAATCCCCACCCAAAACCTTTACTTTATCATTCATTCTCCCTGTTGTCTGCACATCGCCCACAGTCGAGCTGTCCAGAGAGACCAGTCCAGCAGAGGACGGGGTTCCTACGGCGGAAGAGGCAACGGAAGCAACGGAGGCTAACGCTGGTGTAGGCGAAGACGGAGAGGAGGACCAGGGAGGGGATCAAAACCAGCCAGGAATCTACACAGAACATGTGTTCACCGACCCACTGGGGGTGGGACCCACTGACTCTTCTCCTACTAACACACAGAGGTGAGGAATGATTTAAGTTTTCAAGGTGCAAATCACAATAGCAAATTTGTAGGAGAAAAATTTTATTAAAAAGAGGCGACAAACTCCACAGAGTTCTTGCACTCCAGAAAGTCCTATGGTCAGGTGAGTCAGATCATAAACTGACTGTGAAAGAACCAAAAAACCCAGAACAATGTTTAGGTCCTCAGATCTTAATTAGGTAAAATTACTCTGTTTTCTACCCAGATGATGATAAAATGTTTAGTAAGCCTGATTAAGGTTTGAGGACCAACACTTGGTCAATACAAGAGATGAACTGTATGTGGGTTTTTTTTGGTTCTTTTCACATTAAAAGGAGGCAACAAAACTCCCATTTTGATTTGAAAATTTTAGCACTTTAGTACTCGTATTTCTCCCCCTGGTAGTCCCAATAAAATAAAAGCAACATAATGTAGCCATGTATCTGAAAGACTGCTGCCTGGTGAAACGTCTGTCTTCTGTGATCTAGGGGCTCCGGGCAAGATGGAGTGGCCTCCTTGCCAGAAGACTCAGACCCGTCAGAGGGGGAAGTCCTGAGGATGAGCAGCGCCCTCCCCACCATGTGGCTGGGAGCTCAGAATGGCTGGTGAGCAGGACAATGGCCACTAGAGGGAGCTATTGGTGCAGGAAAAAAATAAGGGTTGGCCTCGACAGAGTGAATACTGCACAGTTATAACTTCATTGAGAAAGTAGGCTTCGTGGACTTAATGTGCTTTTCAATATGAGGCCTAAATGACTGATAAGTGGTGACCAAAATTCATTATGAGACATTATGTTTTAACCTAATAGTGTTTCTGTTGTTGAGCAAATCCTTTCACTCACACTTTCACCTGCTTTATTTTTCTCATTTATTTTGAAATCCACTCCTCATAAGCCAGTATTGCGCTGCACTCTGTTCAGCCATTCCTTACCTCCCTGTCTCCTCATTTTCAAGTCTGTATGTCCACTCATCCGTGGCGCGATGGAGGAAGTGTCTCCACGCCATCAAGCTGAAAGACGCCATCCTCAGCATAGTGTGAGTACAAAGTCGGTTGTGTAGTTACTGAACACACCGTTTTACCTTCAAGGTAAAAAAAAATGTCTGAAACGGTGTCTTCCTCATGTGTTACAGACATGTCAAAGGGAGAGTCCTCGTGGCGTTGGCCGATGGGACATTAGCAATTTTCCACCGAAGCATTGGTAAGTCTGTAGCATAGCACTCCTCGTAGTAAGACGCACATCTGAGACCCATTTCATGCCACAAAAACCTCAGTTCTCAAGTCTATTCGTTTCTCGCCAGCAGACGGTCAATGGGACCTAACCAATTACCACCTGCTGGATCTGGGCCGGCCCCACCACTCTATCCGCTGTATGACTGTTGTCCATGACAAGGTGTGGTGTGGTTACAGGAACAAGATCTACGTCATCCAGCCCAAGGCCATGAGGATAGAGGTACAGCAGTCACGACAGTCAATTAACAGTCATTGTAGTTTTCTTTTCTAGTCTGCCTCAACTTATTAAACTTTACTGAGGGTAAAGGGGAAAGGGTAATCCTGTTTTTCAGCAAAGCTCAAAACAACAAAATACTGTGTAAACTTGCCTTTATCTAAAACACGTCACATTTACAACTTTCACATTGAACATTTCCACAATGTCCTGACATTGCATCTCGACCTGCCGTGCATGAGCAGAAGTCATTTGACGCTCATCCGCGCAAGGAGAGCCAGGTGCGGCAGCTGGCCTGGGTTGGAGACGGTATCTGGGTTTCCATCCGACTGGATTCAACCCTACGCTTGTTTCATGCCCACACCTACCAGCACCTCCAGGATGTGGACATCGAGCCCTACGTCAGCAAGATGCTCGGTATATATTAATCATTGGCTAAAGTTATTTGAGTTAGTAAAGTAAAGAATAAAGTTAGATCTTCTGAATCTGAAGTTATTTAGTGGGATTTGTTTTCATTTTGACGTTGCAGGAGTAAGAAATTAAAAAAGCTTCTTGTGAGTCAAAGTGTCACAAGTACAGTTCAGTATATAAAGATGTGAAAGCAGCACCTGTATATCGTTGGCAAAAATTCTACCTTTTGATCGTGGGATTGACACAGTGAACAAATGTGCGCTCTGTCTGCTCTGTGTGTGGTGCAGGTACGGGTAAACTGGGCTTCTCGTTCGTGAGAATCACAGCTCTCGTGGTGTCCTGCAGCCGTCTCTGGGTGGGGACAGGAAACGGCGTCATCATCTCCATCCCGCTGTCTGAAGGTATCGCACTCGTGCACCGCATCAACAGGCCACTCAGATGTGCTCTAGCTTACTCCATTTACTTTAACTGTGTGTATTTATTGAAAAGCTCTGTATTAATAATAACTTTGTTTCTTTATTTATATTTTCTTAACAAAGTGCTTCACAGAAAAATAAAACCAGATAAAAGAGAAGGTCAAACAGCCTTAGCATAGCAAAAAGCTTAAATAAAAACATATATCAAACATTATGCTAAAGGATCTGAAAGTAAGTGAAGAGAGGCAATAAAATATGTTAGAACAATAATTAGGGATAAAACATTTTAAAACATTTATCAAACATTACCAAAGGCTAAGACAAAAAAATGTGTTCCTGAGTGTGGGGGCTCTAATAGCAAAAGCTCGGTCACTGTTAGTCACAAACCTTGACCTTGGGGCGACCAGCAGGCCTCCATCCGCAGATCTCAGTTCACAGGTGGGGCACATACCCTGTCAATAAATCTGAGATGTAATTGAGGGGAAGGCCATTTAAGGCCTTAAAAGTCAGCAATAAAATTTTAAAATCAATCCAAAATCTAACAGGGAGCAAATGAAGGGAGGCGGGCACCGGAGTAATGTGATTGTACCTGTTTGTCGCTGTAATAAAACAAGCAGCGGCATTTTTTATTCGCTGAAGACGGTGCATGGAGGCCTGGCTGATACCCAAATAAAGTACATTACAATAATCAAGCTGGGAATAGATAAATACATGCACAATGTTTCATAGGTCAGCGACTGATAGTAAAGTTAAGTAAGTTTAGAGTATTACTCACATACAGTATATTTTTTGAATGCTTTATGTGCGTTGCTGTGAAAGTCTTGAGTTCATTATCAGTGTGTGTGGTTTAAAATGAATGCTCACTCTGGCGTATGCTTGAACTGAAGCACAGTGGAACTGAAGTAGTGGAGACAAGTTGCTTGCTCTTATCAAACTCATATCCCCCTCTGCTGTCCTCTTCGACTCCCGCCTCCACTTACTCTTTCATATTCCACCTCCGCTTCAGGAAGCCACAGACCCTCAGCGTGGACGCTCTGCGGTGCCTCAGGGATGATTCAACATCAGACTGTAGACGGCCTCACAGCCTCACCTCTTCTCTCTGTGGCTTTTTAACCTCTCCCTAAATCCTGGCTGCCCTACATCCACTCTGTCTCTTCTCACTGTGCGTCTGCGTCCCTACATTTCTTTGCAGGCTGCGAAACCCAGGCGCTACTTGTTGAATAAAAGACGACTGGGTTGCCATGGATACAGGTCTCACAGTCACTGCGTAGCTCACACGAAATCCGTTTGGCAGGTTTATGCTGCACAGCTCTGCTGTCAGTGGAAACGGAGGAGAGCTTAGGTCCCCTTTTGTCCAACCTGTAGATTCTCTCCTACTGTACTCCTCTACTCCTTTGGCATGGGCGTCTCACTTTGTCTATGCTTTCAGAAACAATGAGTTCAAACAGGCTCCTCTGCTGACATGAACCACAGACCGCTTTGCTGTCTGTCTGACAGACGCTGTGCTCGGGCGCTGCTCATAATCCTGCTTTGTCTTAATTTTCTGGATGGGGAATCAGTTCCACACTCTGTTGTGTAAATGTGTGTTTGTGTGTGTGTGTGTGTGTGTGTGTGTGTGTGTGTGTGTGTGTGTGTGTCAGTGAGCGATCAACACTGATCTTTCTTGATACATTTCCCTCTCTCAATGTGAGATTTGATCGTCTCACCAGTGCTCTTACAGTTTGTCTTTTGTCCCCTTTTTCACATAAGACCTGTTTTGAAGTCTCTGCCTTCACTGCTTTAATACACCACCAGAAAATATTCAAACAAACAACATGCAACCCAACCCTTTTTTTTTTTTTTTTTTTGCACAAAATCACCATAACATTTGCCTTTTGACAACAGCAACTTTTATTTATTTATTTCTCTCTTTTCCTGCAGCCAACAAGACAACAGGAATCGTGCCAAATCGGCCCGGCAGTGCTATACGGGTTTACGGTGATGACGGTTCAGACTGTGCCATGCCAGGCAGCTTCGTGCCATACTGCTCCATGGCCCACGCCCAGCTGTGTTTCCATGGACATCGAGATGCAGTCAAGTTTTTTGTTACCGTGCCAGGTAAGCAACCAGTGCAGGCCAGAAACCGGAACAGACAAATGCTGCAGAATGAATAGATATTAATCAGTGAGAATCACCAGCCATGTGTATGAGTCGTATTTTGTATCTGATAAAATATAAACAGGCAGGGGCACCATTTATATGTTATGCTTAGGTTGAGCTGCACCGATGAATCAGCTGGTCGATTGAAAAATTAAAAGTAATCTGCAACTACTTTGAAATGTTGGTTGAAGCTTCTCAGATGTCACATTTTGCTGCTTTTCTATGTTTTATATCATTTTAAAATGAATATCTTTGGGTTTTGTAGAAACTGGGAGTGGGTATTATTATTCTTTTTTTTTTTGCTACTTTTCGAAGTTTCATATACTAAATGATCAGTTGATAAAATAATCAGAAGATTAAATAATGAATTTTAATGTGAACAATTTAAATAATAGTTGAAAGTAAACTCATGAAATCTTTGACAACCAGGTCATTTCTTGTTGATTATTGAAAAATAATGGCAGCAGCTTCCTGATTACAGCTTTTCAAAAGCTTTTTTGTTTTGCTCTGCTTCTCATTGCTGTAAACTGAAAATGTTTTTTTTTTTTTTTTTTTTTTCTTTACTCCTTGGTTGGTCACAGGACAGGCAATGCCTCCTCCAGGTAGTGCAGACTCAGGCTCTGATGACCCTCCATCTGAATCCTCTGACACAGCAACTTCTGAGCCCAAAACATACCTGGTCATGAGTGGAGGCGAAGGCTACATTGACTTCAGAATGGGTGAGTGCACCATGTGTCCCCTACAAAATATTTAAGGTTGCATTTGAAAAGTAACGTAGCCGATTCTACACTGTGTGACTATTAAAAATGCTGCAAAAACAACCAATATCTCCGCTGCGACCCAGCTGGTCGGCTGTTTGTTTGACTCGTCATCTTCCTCCTCAGGCGATGAGGGCGGTGAGTTGGACGGTTTATCAGAGCCAACAGCTAGCCAGCAGTCAGCACCCACCAAGGCCGAGCGGAGCCACCTCATCGTCTGGCAGGTCACAACTTCTCATGATTGAAAAAAAAAAAAAAAATTAAAAAAATCACAGACTGTTGTGTCAATGCCAGGGCCACCCTCCAACCCCCGCATGCCCTCCTCTAAGTTTTTAATTTGATATTACTGATTGTTCTTAATGCCTGAGTAGTTGAATACTTTGTAAAAACAAAAAACAATTATTTTTAGTCCATGTTTTGTACAGTTTATTCTTTATGAATTTAAAATAGGTAAGGTGAGGTTTATGTTAACTTAAAGAAAACGTCCACAGTCCAAGTGTTCCCCTCTGCTGGGTTGCATGTTGGAAAAGCAGGTGCACACAGGAAAAAGGCCAAGTCAGCTTATCTAGAGCTGTGGGCAAAGTTTGATCAGGTAATGTACACACATTGTTTGTCTCCCAAAGGTTAAAAATGGTTTAGATGTGACAAGACAAAAGGGAAAAGCACTTGAAGGATTTCATTAAAAAAGGGAGCAGGAAGTTTTGATTTGAAGTAAAGAATATTTTCTATTACTCAAGTAAGACTTTTACATTTGTAAACCACATGTCTGTGTATGTGCGAGCATCCGGTGTGTGAATGCATTCACTGATTTTTTTTTTTTTTCCTGTGTTTAGCATTTTTATTATCTTTACCGTTAGGGCTGGGTGTCAAAATAAGGTACCCGCAAGTCAAAATGCAAACAGAATATCAAAAGGATCAATTGTGTTTTCTGAGGCTGATTACTCTACTGTACCATCTGATTATTAGAAAAGCAGCTTGCACGTACAAGTGGTCCACAAAAAAAACAAAAAAACATTTACTCATAATTAAATGTGCTTTTATTGAGCAAAAGTTGTAGGATAAAACATTATCGGAGAGGTTGTATTAATATGGAATGACACCGAAACCTATTTGCCACAGGATTATGTTTTGTGATCTGAATAATGTCTAAGCAGTCTGGGTACTTTAGGGTTACCTGTGAGTAGAAGACCCAGCTTACTGTACTGTAGGTTAGCATTAGCCTGCATGGGGAAATCCTGTATCCTCATCAAAGTGTGTGTGTGTGTGTGTGTGTGTGTGTGTGTGTGTGTGTGTGCGATTGCTCGGCCGTTTCAAAGCTAAACCCTCGTCCGTCGTGTGAGGAGACTCTGCCTGTGCCACCAGCTTGGTGCTTCCTATCTGCTTCAGCTCATTGGCACTTTAAAATGTTAGATGTTAGTCGCTTGAGGTTTGGAAAAACACCCATGGTAATGTACACCACACTCCCGTGTGTGCTAATTGTGTGAAGGGAACAAAATATACACATATTTGTAGCGAGGTGGCACCCCAATAACCAAAGGATGAAAGAAGAAGCACCGTGAAACTGACTATTTCATTTTTTTCCCCCCAACTTTAAAAGTCGTATGAGTCTAATAATTTGAAGGTTATACATTTATATCTTATTGGGAATAAACTTGAATAAGGGAATCTGACTAAAAATAACATTTTTGTGTGGCACCTTCTAATGAACATGCACACAGCACTAAAGAGAGTCTCTCATGACTGCCTCATCATTCCTTGTGTTGTTGTTACAGATACATTTGGAGGCCTGGAAGGCAAATATTGTCATTATTTTTTGTTGCTTTGGGCATTGTGCGTGTTTTGTATTCATCCATGAGACACTTTTATTAAGTAATGAGTATTTTCTTGACTGTAACATGATGAAGGATACCAATAGGTGTTTTAATTTGTTTTTATATCTGAAAAGTTGGGCCAAGATTGGTCTTCAGTCCATTTCAAAATAACTTTATATTGTGTTTTTGCCATTCCAGTATTTATTTCCTTTGTTATCGAGCCTATCTTGGTTCAGAATGTAACTTTCTACATGAGCAAAATATAATAGGAGGCTATTGTAAACAAAATAGTCAAATGAGTTTACATGATTGTTAATAATGGTTAAATAAAAGAAATCAATGTCATCATGTTGGAAATTTCTGACCAACCCTAAGATCAAAGTGTGCAAACAGTAACTCGGTGGTTTTCAAACAACACATTCATGTACTAAGCTATGCATGTTTTTTTTAAGAGAACACTGCTATGTTATCAGCTAAATCTCTGTTTATTGCCACCGTTTTGGGTGGGATGGATGTCTATAGTGTGTGTGTGTGTGTGTGTGTGTGTGTGTGTGCGTGTGTGTGTGTGTACAGTACATGTGTGTGCACATATAGAGTTTCAACCCAAGACACAGTGTGTCATAGTGTGTTTGATTTTGCAAATGTGCGGTGTATGTGTGCTCACTGTATGTCCATCTGTAAAACCCAGAGACTGGTCACATTTACCCGTTGTACTGCCATGATGGTGGTTCCTCTGGTCAGTGTTTGCTAAAACAGCATCATAGCCTTATTTTTAACAATCTATTAAATCAGTTTCATGGAGAAGTTCCTGTTATCATGTGTCTCATTGTTGTTAAATTCATTTGTGTAATTCTTTCCCAATTGAAAAGTGTGGCTACGTATGTCTAAGTCACTCAAAACTTTATTACTTAATCAGCCTCTCACTATGAGGAATGGGTTTTGACATGAACACACTATTTTATGCCAAAATTGAAACCATTTTGGTTATGGTACATTCGAGATTTTGTATGATGTCACATATTTCTGCGCACCAATCAGGATTCAGCAACATTTGAATCTGAATCTCATGACAGTTGTTGGGTTGTTGTTCTTCTCACAGTCAATCAAGTCTGATAAAAACCACAGCCACACAGTCCTGATGAAGTAGATTATAACTATGTTTTTTTTTTTAGTTGTGATATTAAATATCAAGATATTGTAGAGAAATACTTTTAAGTGACAAATGCCATAATCCACTGATGACATGAAATCACAATTATAACTATTAACATACAAACACTGTCGTATGCTTAAGAACCAAAACTTGCACCATTTTTTTCCTTTATTCACTGCATCCTCTGTGAACTATAACTGATGCATATATCACTTTACGTCCCACGTGCTTGTCTACACAAATGTTGGCATGATGCAAGAAGTAAAATCCATACCATTGCATACAATATTTAACAAATCAAATGACAAATACCATTTATATTTGATGATATTCAAGTTTTATTACGTAATAAGCAACACATAAAACAACTGACTCCTTCAAATTAACTGAGCCACATTACCACCAGATGGTGCCGCATGTCTATTTAAAAAAAAACAAAAAAAAAACAAAAAAAAAAAAAACTGAATCATCCTCTTAGCTCCACAGCGACATATTCAAAAATGATTTGTATCTGTAGTTTCAAAAGACATGAAGCCTCTTGCATAACACATCTGCACTACATGTCACCATAACTGAATATTGACACTTAATTAAAGACCAAGCTATTTTAAACCTTTACTTTCTCCTATCGACTTGTCTACAGCTGATGCAAACACAGCTGGTACCTTTTTAGGTTGCAGAAAAACCAAAGCATAATTATAATGAAAATATATTCATATATATTCAGGCCACAGTATGGCTCCAGTATGGCATATAATAGTGTCAGTACCTGCATTTCCTCAAAGAACCAAGGCTTGTTGTTGCGCAAGATGAGGAAACGCAGCTGCTAAATGTGAGGTGTCAACATAAAGATCATATTTTTACAGTCAGACACTTGGCAGTGAGGCAATGAGTTCATGTGGTCTTTTCCTTGGCCAGTAGGAGGCTGTGCTGTTCAAAAGCTTCTGTAGGATGCAGCATCACCACACATAACAATTTCCATGAAATTACATCACAGTGTAAAGCCCACCTCCCACCTCTCTGCCTTTCTCCGTCTCTTCCTCCATCCCAGCTCATCCACCCCTCCTCCTCCTCCTAAGCCGTGCGGGGGCAGACAGCGAGGCCTGCACACACATACAAAGAGGTTTCTGACGTCACAGAGTGTGATGTAGCCCAGACGGGGGATTCTGAGACTGTAACATGCCAGGTCTGATGTGCTGCATTACAGCTGGGATTCTGCAAAAAGAGAAGTGATCCCATTTATCCTACAGATGGGGGTTGGGGCAAAAATTGCTTTCAACGAGTTACAGGTTCTGAGAAAAGAATAGATGAGGGGCATATGTATGTGAAACTGCACCTGCAATTCAAAGTGTGCTCGACTCTGCTCATTGTTTATTATGGAGCTTGACTTGGTCATTTAAGACGGTAAAATAAACCCAGTAGGCCCCAGTATGTGGATGCACAATTCATCTGTTATGTAACATCCCCAGCTGCCTTCTCTGTGCCTCTCTCTGTCCTTCTCTGCCTTGTGAAAGTCAACCCGCCGTCAAAAGTCAAACATTTTGATGCGCTTTGTTCTCTGTTAGTTATCGATGATCCCAGAAAATCCATTCTTCAGTAAAAGCTAGAAGCCCCCTTATTGTGTTCTTCCTTAGTTTTTTTTCTGTTTTGGATGCAGTTTGATGTGAACGTCGACACCTGTGCTTGTCTAAGACATGCGATGCAGGCTGCGAAATCAATGGTGTGATCACGCTGCGAGATTAAGCCCATAAGAACTTCAGCTAATGACCTTCAGAGTGGGAAGAAAAGGATAAAAAGGCCAATGTCACTGCTTTTATAACGGCTTCACCACACATTGTAGCCTCATGAAAGCTTTCATCAGGTGAAATGCATAGATGTGATAGCTGCAAGACTATGAAGGATGCCTGTGGTATGTCAACACAGCGGTGGAGCAGTGTGTTGATTTATTTAGGAGACATTTCAGAATTAGTCATTCTTGGCTAGTGTTGAAGTGGGCCGGATGAAAGCAAAGAGAGGAAGGTGAGAAATCCAAGAAGTCTAGAAAAACAGAGGGGGTGGGTGGCTGGGAGAGAGAGAGGGAGAGAGAGAACAGAGAGAGAGGAAAGAGGAGAGGCTCCCCAGATGACAGTGGTGTGAAACATGTGGCAGTGGTGAGGAGAGAGAGGAAGAGATCTGCTACATACTATCAGGACTCCCCCCCACTTCCAGCTTTCAGTTCCACTGAAACAAGATGAGAGGTGTCTGTTTGTGTGTTTTCCCTCAAACTTGCAATCCCCAAGAATGTGGTTCGGCTCCCCTGGACGGAGAGAGAAGATACAGTATGAATACTCAAATAGCTGATCTGAGGCAGTCAAGTCTTTGAGGTTCAAACATTAGATCTCCTTGAACACCATTGTGACATTGTGTTGTTGTGTGTGCTGGTACTGCTGCTCATTTTTTATTTTTTTTTTGTCTGTTTAAACCATCATGATTCATTTGTCATTTGAACTGCAGAATCTTCTTCTCTTCATTTCAAACAGCACCTGATGCTGCTGCATGCCAGAGTTTAACAAATCAATTACTTGCTCTGTGCCAAACAATTCCTCTGTGGAGGAATGGTGGTGACAAAAGATTCGAGGTGCACAAAACAAATCCTGAGCGCCACTCAGTCTACAAAGTCAACATTTGAAGAGTGCCCTCGTTTCTGTGTTCTGCTCTCTTAATTTTCTCCAGCTTCTTTGGCAGCCTCCAAGCAAAGAGGTCGCTTGTCAATCATTTTTGACTTGCAGGCTGCAACAGGACACACCCACATCCAAAGTTAAAGTTCGCACAAGGAAAAAAAACAGCTTCTGAATATATTGCTCCTCTGTAAGCAGCGAATGGTGAGCACATGAATATTTAAGACAATATGTACACACTTAATGTCTATATGCCTTATCCTGTAGTCTACAATTTAAAGGGATAGTTCAGGTTATTTTACATGGGGTTGTATGGGGTAGTCATGCATAGTCAGAGCGAAAAGTGCTGTTTGGATGGGAGGATAAATCGCTGAAAATATTCTTCACAAAGTGTACATTTAAACAGATATTGGATTGTTTCGTTGGGTGTTTTTAAAAGTGTCTAAAGCACGTATTTTCTGCTGGCCCTGTGCACAGCAACACCTAGCTCTGCTGGTGTGCCGGTGCTCCCAGTCGGCTCTCTCAACTGGCAGCGCGCTAATCTGAATCTAGTGCAGGTAACACTCTGACTATGCATGAGTACCTCATACAACCAAACATAAAATAATCCAAACTACTCCTTTAAATTATTGTAGGCGTGTTGATCTGCACAGCTCAGCCAAACTCTGTTGATTCAACTGATCCCCCTCACTGTTGCCTAATTTATTCATACCGATATTTTGGATTTGCATGCCTATTACGAAAATGCTGTCAGAGTGTAGCCACAGCCAATAATACTTTTTATTTATCCATTCTATTTTTTTGAACCATTCCCCTCATGAATCTCACATGGAGTCGGATCAGAGTACAGTAAACCCAACCGCCCCATAACAGGGTCCTTGGATTTCTGTGGGCAGCTTTCTGCTCAGAAGTGGCAGTGGGGCTCATTACTCTACCAAGGTGTTTATGTTTTCACTCGTGTCTGTTTATTTGTCAGCAGGATTACGCAAAAAGTACAGAACTGATTTGCACCAGACTTGGTGGAGGGACAGGACATAGGTCAGGTAAGAACTCTGGATCCTGGTATATATTGTTTGACACTGGCCTTGGTGGAGGTCTGCACTCTCTGGGTGTCTGTGTTCATACATGTTTGTCTTAGAAGGAAAGAAAAAATAAGCCCTAGACAGAAGTAAACAAAGCTAACACAGCCACCATAACATATATCTGGTAACTACATTTAAATGAACGTGACTCTCAAAATGAGTCTGCCATAATGGCTTAAAAAGAAGTTAATTTACCAAAAAATGTCATGAAATATGATAATTCAGGCATCAAAAACAGCTCTTTGTCTCCATCTGGTTGGAAGAACATGAACACTCTTTATCTCCAGACAACATGACGTGGAGACAAAGAGTGTTTGTGTTCTTCCAAAATTTCATGGGATAGTTAAAAACCGTGGGAAGATTTCCACAAAAATTAGTTTTAGATGCTACTACTAAATACAAATAAAATTCCTAATTGATGTGCACATGAAAACAAATACGTACGCACGCACGCACGCACGCACGCACGCACACACACACACACACACCTACACACACACAATGCTACACACAGTGAGTCCCACACATACCTGTAGTCTAAACCGTCATACACACACTGTTTGGCCAGAGTAGTGGCTTTTACTTCTGTGTGTACATTCAGATGCAGCCATCTGCTGTTTATAGCAGCTGCAGCAGTTTCACCACACCATCACATTACATTTCCACAAACAGAAAGATGCTTTTTAATTCAGAACCTTGTATCTGACAATAAAAAATCTTCAGTTTGAGGGGAGAAAATGAGCAGAAGGGAAGTTCCAGAAATGAATCATACAAAGGCTAATGCAGTTTCACACACACGATATTAATCTATAAATTCAGTGTGTCCCCCTGACTGAAGGGTTGTGTAAATACAGCACGTGCTTCCCGTCGCCCCTGTCCGCTTGCGCTCTGTGTGCGCGTGTCT